AACATGTTATAACGGTTGTCAAATAATTGCAACACAGAAACCACCATCAAGATAGCGCTATAACATGTTATAACTCTGTAGTCTGAACGTACTATAAATCAGTTATTTGAATATTGATCCAGTGTTGGAACTTGCAGCAAGAACGCGAATTACCTTAAAAAAATTGCTCGGGTATGGACGCTAATAGTACGTTCAGACTACAGAGTTATAACATGTTATAGCGCTATCTTGATGGTGTTTTCTGTGTTGCAATTGTTTGACAACCGTTATAACATGTTATAACTCTCCAGTCTGGACAGCGTTTAAGCAATCGGTACAACGGTGTCGTTCAGAGTTTACCCAAGTAGGGAGGTGGATGCCATAGGATCATGGATGATTCCGAAGACAATGATGTTCGGAGGAAAAGTATCAACTAAATTAAATGACTTTCTGCAAAAAAAAACACCTATAAACTGGACAGGAGGAAGAGCAAGCTGGATTTGGCTATAACTTCCCACCGAATGAGGAGCAAGTTGAAGAAAAGTGAGTTGGGTGGATTTTCGGGTGGAGGTTTATTTCTGATTAATTTGCATTTTTAGACATCAAAGTGGTTCACTACGAGTCGGATTCAGACTTATCGGCAAAAGAAAGCGATTTTGGACCTTCCCGCATAAACGCGAACCATCACATGACCTTACCGATAATGGTTATAAATTGTGTATAATCCCTGCTAAACTTCAACTGAAATGGTTATGGTACTTTACATGAACGTTTGTGTGATAAAGTTTTAACCTTATGTATTATGGTTTTTTGGAAGCGGACCTTGCAAATAATGGGTTGTTAAGAACCATTACCATTCCAAATTCTTGTTTTCTCCATAGATTTTCGGAAAGCGAACTATATTAGAACGTTTTTACTTATGGTTTGAGAACATTAATGGTTATGGTTATGGTAGTCAGTAAGGTCCCTTAATAATTTTGTATTATCGCTCAACTTTACGTGAAATATATCGTGAATTGGTGATCAGTAATTTACAGGCAACCAATTCGCGATATATTCCACATAAAGTTGATCGATGGTAATGGTTCTTAACAACCCATTATTTGTAAGGTCCACTTCCAGAAAACTATAATACTTAAGGTTAAAACTTTATCATTAAACGTTCATGTAAAGTTCCATAACCATTTCAGTTGAAGTTTAGCAGGGATTATAAACAATTTTAACCATTTAAGGTAAGGTCAATTTAGGTCAAAATATGTATACTGCTGAATTGTATTTTGTTTTCTCCGCCTATCTCTCCCTCTGAGTATTTCTAGTTTACACTAGTTACACGGAACCGAAAAATTACCCAAAATTAAGTAAACACATTAATGTTCATTTCTTATTTGTGTCAATGATAAAAAAATAAAGATTGCTCGAATACAATAATATTTTATTAAAACAAAAGCAATGTCATCGAAAAAATAAGTAGTGGCGCCGGTGGTGTAGTGATAAGCGTGACTACTTCTTACCCCAGCAGGCCTGGGTTCAATCCCAGTCGAAACCGCTGGGATGTTCTGATGCATAACATCTCCACGCAGAAAAAAACTATCGTCGAAACAAAAATATTTGAGGTAAATTTAAACGTTAACTCAGTTTGTTCTGGCCACAAGCATAAATTAGGTTGATTTCAAACGTATTCCATGTTTGAAGTCATGTGAAATCAATGTTTAAAATAAAAATAATGTTACGTTTATTTCAAAAATATTCGTGTTGAAAATAAACGAATTTGTTTATGTTTAGTTTGACAGCTATACTAACAATAATTAATATGTTTATTTTAAACATGCTTCTCATGTTTAAAATAAACATACATATTTTGAAATTATTTTAGTAGCTGAGTGCAGGGTAAAGCAAAATACAACGGTTAGCAAAGAAAAGAAAAAAAACGGGCAGGGGTTTCTTTCTACGTTCGGTGTCGGTGATATAGCGATCGGCATCAGAAACGACGGAGTGAAGTTGATACTGTGGGCACAGACAAACAGACATAACTCTCCCAATCACATTCATCGCAAATAATGTTTTAGTTGGGAATGTGCTTGCATTTGTCATGGTAGCGCCACTGAAGCATTGAGCAAGCCACCACATTTCGGACTTATCAGTGATGCCAGTTCTTTTTCACGTCTACTTAGTAGATTCCAGCTCTTGAAAATGATAAGTGGTCAAGGCATCCCACTGGTCTCCACATCTGACGAATACAGAAAAAAAAATTGTTGAATATTACATCAAAACTGCTGCACATTAGTCATTCATTACGTTGTACGATGTACACAGCATTCGAGAACAAATCATGTTGATGACTGTAATATTCTATCGACTTTTATCAGTTATTGATGTTCAATACTTCACCATGAATATCATTGATTGATACATATTATTCTTTTTCTTCTGTGTACAAGTGATGAGCGGTGGTAGAAAGGGCACTAATAAGTGATGCATTACCTCGTTTAAAAACTTTGTTCCTGCAAAAGAAAAAGCACATTAAGCAAACAAAACAAATCCCTAAGAAAAAAGTCTTAGCTTCTGAGATTTATTCCTACGGATCCGTATTTCTGCAGAATTCAATAAATTCTATAGATCTTCTGAAATATTCATAGAACCGACATCACTGACCTCCATCTGTTTTGTTTTTATTCAACGCAGCTGACGCGTTGACAGAACGCAAGGGAAAAGCAACTAGTGAACAAATTACTTGCACGAGGGATGCTCCGGTTGCAAAACATTGCTTGGGAATGTGGATGATAGATGGTGCTAATGCGCATGCAAAATACGCTTGAAGATATTTTTTGAAGAATTTTCTTCTCGTACACCGCTATGAGACAGGTATAATTGCGTCATCTGCCGCTCAAAGGTAAATGCTACCAACGATTGGATAGCAAAGATTACACCCTCAGAAGAAAGGTTCCCCTTTGATCCTCAGTCTAATCTTCAGCACTCTATTCTGAGCGACCTGGATTTTGTTTCTGTGAGTTTGTGCACATGATTCCCATACACACGATACGCAGCTCGCGTGCATGGTAAGAAAAAAGTACTCAACGGCTAGTTCACTTTTACCTAGTTTGTCTCCTTTTCTCTTTCTAATGTTGTCAAAAACTGAGGAGCAAAACCACCCAACAGGGGTAGTAAAGTGTGGGAACCCAACGTTGAGTATAATCATATTTACCTACTGTTGGGTACAACTAACTTACTTTTGGATTGAAAGCTAGTGGAAAATTCCATACGAATTGCACACAAGTAAATGAAAATTACTTTGACCCGCTTTACCTACTTTTGGGTTCCTGCGGAGATGAGTGAAAAGAACTTATTTTTGGGTACTTTTTTCTAACCGTGCAGAGGATCGCAGGTGCTACACGATGTTTCGTGAAAACCCATTAATGGGTAAAAAAAATACCCATTTTCAAATCATGTATGCAGCTGTCAAAAAATGGGGGAATTTTGAAATCATAAAATGGGTGAAAAAATACCAGTCGAAACCGCTGGGATGTTCTGATGCATAACATCTCCACGCAGAAAAAAACTATCGTCGAAACAAAAATATTTGAGGTAAATTTAAACGTTAACTCAGTTTGTTCTGGCCACAAGCATAAATTAGGTTGATTTCAAACGTATTCCATGTTTGAAGTCATGTGAAATCAATGTTTAAAATAAAAATAATGTTACGTTTATTTCAAAAATATTCGTGTTGAAAATAAACGAATTTGTTTATGTTTAGTTTGACAGCTATACTAACAATAATTAATATGTTTATTTTAAACATGCTTCTCATGTTTAAAATAAACATACATATTTTGAAATTATTTTAGTAGCTGAGTGCAGGCTAAAGCAAAATACAACGGTTAGCAAAGAAAAGAAAAAAAACGGGCAGGGGTTTCTTTCTACGTTCGGTGTCGGTGATATAGCGATCGGCATCAGAAACGACGGAGTGAAGTTGATACTGTGGGCACAGACAAACAGACATAACTCTCCCAATCACATTCATCGCAAATAATGTTTTAGTTGGGAATGTGCTTGCATTTGTCATGGTAGCGCCACTGAAGCATTGAGCAAGCCACCACATTTCGGACTTATCAGTGATGCCAGTTCTTTTTCACGTCTACTTAGTAGATTCCAGCTCTTGAAAATGATAAGTGGTCAAGGCATCCCACTGGTCTCCACATCTGACGAATACAGAAAAAAAAATTGTTGAATATTACATCAAAACTGCTGCACATTAGTCATTCATTACGTTGTACGATGTACACAGCATTCGAGAACAAATCATGTTGATGACTGTAATATTCTATCGACTTTTATCAGTTATTGATGTTCAATACTTCACCATGAATATCATTGATTGATACATATTATTCTTTTTCTTCTGTGTACAAGTGATGAGCGGTGGTAGAAAGGGCACTAATAAGTGATGCATTACCTCGTTTAAAAACTTTGTTCCTGCAAAAGAAAAAGCACATTAAGCAAACAAAACAAATCCCTAAGAAAAAGTCTTAGCTTCTGAGATTTATTCCTACGGATCCGTATTTCTGCAGAATTCAATCAATTCTATAGATCTTCTGAAATATTCATAAAACCGACATCACTGACCTCCATCTGTTTTGTTTTTATTCAACGCAGCTGACGCGTTGACAGAACGCAAGGGAAAAGCAACTAGTGAAAAAATTACTTGCACGAGGGATGCTCCGGTTGCAAAACATTGCTTGGGAATGTGGATGATAGATGGTGCTAATGCGCATGCAAAATACGCTTGAAGATATTTTTTGAAGAATTTTCTTCTAAGAGTTATGTCTGTTTGTCTGTGCTGTGGGGCTCCGCCGGTTTAGTCGAGCTGGTTTCCACATCCACGGAAAAATGAGTCTATGCATTAATGACTATTTTTCAACCACTTTTTAGAGCTTGTTCGGGCTGTCATAGAGTGGTTGAATTTTATAGCAAAAAAGTGTATACAATTTAGACATTTCCAGAGAAAACAATCTTTCAACAGAAGTGTCTAAATTGTATTCTCTAGTGGCTGAAAAAAAACTTGGAAACAAGTATTTTCCGAAAACGCCGCCGGCTAACAATGATTAACTTTTTCGCAGGTAGATACATTGTTTATAGTATCATCATAATAGACAATTTGATAGTAATTTATAACTTTCCTTTTGTTTCAAGAGTGTGGTGAGAACTTCCAGAAGAAGTCGTCATCATCGCCAGCAGTGGGAAGGAATTACTGCTTCCTTCGCAATAGAGTGCTGGAACGACAACCAAGTTTTCTTCCTATTCCGTTTCCTATATTCTTCCATGATAAAGTTGGAGGAGCTAGTGAGCAGCAGATTCAGCTGTTACAAGTGTTGTCCGGTACAGTTGGACAGGATGTGTGGGATTAGGGGGATCAGGCCAAAGAGATGGCCGATGCTAATAGTAAGTATATCTAACAAGGTACATTCTTTCATTATTTAGTAACTTTTGATCTACATTACAGAGGGCTTCCAACGGTAGCACGATCCGGATCGAGTTCAGTGGGCAATGGAACGGGAAGGTCGCCGGACACGTAGAAAGTGGCTGAATTTGAAGTGTCTCTGATTGAGTTAGCCTAGGATGCGCAGCAAGTTTTCGTCGATGTTTCCGCGATATGGAGTACTGGAAAAGTTCCAAAACTGGCACGCCTACGTCACGGAATGGTTGGTTCAAGAGGGGAAGCTGGCAGCAAAAGTCTGAAGATTTCCCCGATATCTGCGTCACCATGTTGAAGTCACCAAGAAATAAACGTTCTTCATTATTGTTGTTTTGCTACTATTTTTAATAAAATTTGATGGAAATATACGAAATCAACCATTTAAAATCGTTCCGGTGTACACAATTTAACCACTTTTGAGAAAAACGTCTTTAGTCATTAATGATTAAAATTTAACCAGTTTCGAGAAAAACGCGTTTATTCATCCGATGAGTAAACAGTGTTTATTCATTTTATGAGTATGTGCGGGTTTTCTCGAAACTGGTTGAACTCTAAGCATTAATGCATACTTTTTTCTTAGCGTGTCCATCTTCGGTTTGCACTTTCGGGCCGTTTTCTGTACACGGTTAGAAAAAAGTACCCAAAATTAAGTTCTTTTCACTCATCTCGGCACTATAGTGCAGGAACCCAAAAGTAGGTACACTGAAAAATTGGACAAATCACATTTTGATTGAAAACTAATCATTTTAATATTATACCCAGTTTAATCGTGCTGGCTTTCTAAAAACTAATCAAAGTTGATTGAATTTTAGTCTTCTCTGGGTAAAATTTAATCATGTTCATGATTATTTCCATAAAAGTGTTAAATATGATTAACAGTGTAAAATAAAACGTCAAACTTGTTCGAAACCTCGTTTGCGTTTGTATTTGCGGCGTCGGTTCTGCTGTGCGAGTGCTGTGCATTTTTATGAGTTTTTCGCGGTGATTCCGGGTGTGCTGCGATGGAAGAAGTGTTTGGTGCCATCGGTGAAGACACCACGTAGGTGATTAAAGGTAAGATATATAATTAAAAAGAAAACATTTCTCCATAAGTGCCCGACAATTCTCTCGGCATCATTAGATCATTCGTTGAGGAATAAAAATCTGGAAGTTGTCCGGATCTTCATTCATCAATGGATGATTGAATGATATCCAGAAAGCTTACGAAAAATCGACTCCGGAAGCGCGGAGTGACCGAGATTTGTGTCGCAGCGGGAATGGACTAGGATCATCCAGCCGTTCAATTTTTGATCGTATAATGCATTCTAATTTTTGATTTCAACGAGTCTGACTCTGATTCCAGCCCAAAAATTGCTTTTACTGCTTTCTATTTTTTTTTTTCGTTTCTTACAGACCCAGTGTTACACAGAAAACCACGGCAACTAGGCTAGAATGACGGCAGCGAGGCTAGAAGTAGGAGCGTCCGCTTTGTTTCATCCAAGGCTTATGTTTTTTAATGTATAGAAATAAAATTCAAATGAAATCAAGATTTAGATGTTCTTCTATAAACTTTATCAAGTTTTCCACACTCTTATCTTTGTTTGTCGAAATGGGCACCACCGAGTAGCTTGCGTTGATTAGAATGTATTATTGGGATGATGGATATTTAATTTTAAAATGAATAAATTTCAATGTTAATTTTATCACTGCAACATTGAAAAGTAAGCATTGCATGATTATTTCGAATTTATTCATGCATGATTACTGCCAAACTAATCTTGGTTCTGACTGAATAAGGCAAAGCGGAAAATAGCTTAGTTTTTAAGCATTTTTGATTTCATTTATATTTGAGTGTACCCATTAATGGGTTTTCGCGAAACACCGTGTATGATAGTAGCCGTGCCAAATCGTCCATGCTTCATAAATACCAAATGGTATGGTGATGAAGATCTTACCATCTCTTTTATTCCTTCGTTTATAAGGGCATGTTCATAAACTACGTAGACAGTTTTTTTTTGGGATTCTTGACCCCCCCCCTCCCCCTGCGTAGACAATTGTTCATACAAAAAAAAAAATTGTATGGGCCGTGGATAATTGTCAACTCCCCCCCCACCCCTAAACTGTCTACGTAGTTTATGGACAGCCCTAAATACAACAGCAAATGTGACGTCACACTATTTAGTGCATAAGAATGTCGTAGCAGAAATCCAGCTGGGTGGTGTTAGAATTCAATTTATTTTTAATAGGGTTCGCAGCTTTGGCTGCTTATGACGAAAGCTCAGAGACGAGATCAGAGATCAAACAACTAGCAGAGTAGTGTGTGTGCATAAAGCACGAAACGGTAGAAGCTATAGCAGACAGAATTCCGCGTAGATAGATAAACATCACTAGAGCTACAAATCAGTTGAGAAAGACATTGTCACTTGAACTTTTGCATATTATCTTCTATGACTAATACTTTTTTGGTTACCAATAATAAATCTTATTAATAGTAAAGATTATCGTTTGGTTATTGGGTGGTGGATTTCATCTCCAACTAAAAGGAAGAAAAAGGGTTTGGGAAATATTATTTGGAGAAGATTTTCTCAAATAATATTTCTCTTCGTATTGAGCCTATTCAAATAGGTTGGTGGTGAGAACTTCTGGAGAGAGATTCTTCTCTCAGAAATTCGTCCCATTCTCTGTGCACTCTCATATACTTTAACAGGTTATGGGCCCAGGTGTGCGTGAAAACTAAGAATTACAATTTGTTCAGACGGAGCTTTCTGTTGAACATTTGTTAGGTTTTTGATGGAAGTCTAGACGGAGCTTTCTGTTGGACGATTCCAATTGGATAAAAATATTGTTTTCTTTTTAACAGGAGAAACTATGGAAAATCGAGTTCGAAGAATTGCTGTCCCTCTGTTCAAAGGGGATGAAAAATCATTTCCTTTCTGGAAACGGCGTATTGAGCAGCACCTCAAGCAAGAAGGCCTTCTGCATACGTTGGAGAGAGTTCCGGAAGAGGAAGATTTTGCAAATCCGGTTGAGGGTGCAACACCTGAACAAGAACAGGAACGTGAAACGAAATTCGCAAATCGACAGAAGGAAGACGATCGAGCGGTCAACGAGCTATGGATGGCACTTGAGGACGATGCAATGGCACATGTATTTTCATGCACCTACGCAAAAGAAATTATGTGCAGATTGCAAGAAATCTACCAGCCAAAGGGAACGGTTGCGATGATCGGGCTTCGAAAAAGACTATACAACCTTGGAAGCAAACAAAACAAATATAAATCGCTGAAGGACCTGTTCGATGCTCATGATGAAGTCATCCGCCTGTTGGAGGGCATGGGAGAGGCAATTCCAAAAGTTGAGAAAATCAACACACTACTCGTTGCTATCCCTGAAGAGTTTAAGCACATCATCGGTGCCCTGTCGGTCGTGCGAAAAGAGGAGCTGGAAGCCATGTCAGTGGAGCAGGTGAAACGGTTGTTCCTGGACGAAGAGTGTGCCAAGCCAGCAGTGCAACTTTCTGTGGCATTGGTAGGACTGAGGAAGAACATCCAATGCTACGAGTGCGGCAAGATGGGCCATAAGCGGCGAAATTGCTTCAGGCTGAAGAAGCAGAAGAAAGCAGATCAGCAGAAAAAGGAGAAGTCATCGGCCTTGAACGTTGCGATGCTATCGCGTCAAGAGGGAGCGTTTGTGGTCAAAGTGCCACTGGATAAGTTTAACTTGACGCGTTTGGAAGCAATCAATGAGGTTCAGCAAAAGCCAGCGTCGACAGCAAACTTGATGGATACGGAGCGGGAGCAGAGAGTTATGCAGGTGGATTGCCGAAAAATGCCAGTACCATTTCCATGCTGCCTGGACTCAGGTGCTACCCAGCATATGATCCGAGACATTGCTGCGTTTTCGGAGATGTGGGAGATTGAGAAAATGAGAATTGCTACAGCGAAGAGTGGTTCTGAAATAAACTGCAACCAAGCCGGAAACGTGTTCCTACGTAACAATGGAAATAAACGAGTGCGTTTGGAACTGTATAATGCTCTTTTTATTCCCGAGTTACATACCAATCTCCTTTCGGTTTCTAAAATTGAGTCAGCTGGATGTTCCGTTTTGTTCAAAAATGGTGGTGTCATGATCAAAGACAAACAAGGTAGGTTGATTGCTGAAGGTTCTAGGTCGGATGGTCTTTACCAGCTGGACGTTAACCTGGAGAAAGATGAACAAGCGCTTATTGGAAAACGAACAGGTAATTTGTTGCTTTGGCATAAGCGGTTGGGTCATTTGGGTAGTTCAAATATAAAAAGGCTGTTATCTGAGAACATGGTTGAAGGGTTGGATTTACAACCATCAACGTTTGTTGAAAATACAACTGTATGCGAGTCTTGCATAGTTGGTAAGCAAACAACCCGAATAGAAATTTACATTAGCCCAACGTTTGATTTTGATGTCTACATCAGCATCAAAATCAAATGTATGCCTGATGTCAAACATTAGGAAACATTATGATTTAGTTGTATTTAAGCAACGTAACATGGTGTATACATCAGAAATTTTGGAACAAAATTTTGCCATTCTAATGTCGGTCTGACGTCAAAAATTTCAATCTATTGACATTAGAACCAAACGTTTTAAGGATGTTTTCAGATGTACAAAACGTTAGAACTAAACGTTGTTCGGATGTTTTTAAATGTAAACGTTTTCTGATGTTTTCTAATGTAGATGTTTCCTGATGTTAGAAACAAACGTTTTTGGATGTTTTCAGATGTAAAAAACGTTAGAACTAAACGTTTTTCGGATGTTTTTATATGTAAACGTTTTCTGATGTTTTCTAATGTAGAGGTTTCCTGATGTTAGAATCAAACGTTTTTTGGTTGTTTTCGGATGTAAAAAACGTTAGAACTAAACGTTGTTCGGATGTTTTTATATGTAAATGTATTCTGATGTTTTCTAACGTAGATGCCTCCCGATGCTGGAACCAAACTTTTTTTGGATGTTTTCGGATGTACACAACGTTAGAACTAAACGTTGTTCGGTTGTTTTCATTTGTTCTTCGTGTTTGTTGTTCTCTGATGTTTTCAGATGTACAAAACGTTTAAAGTAAACGTTGTTTGAATGTTTTCAAATGTAGATGTTTACTAATGTTTTTAGATATACAAAACACTAGAATCTTACTTTTCAAATGCTTTCAATTATATTTACAACACATTAGAATTAGAAACATGATCGTGTAAACACTACACACGCTTGTTGTTAGATTACATCATAAAAATGCGTACATAACAGTCAATGCTGAAGCTCCCGTTTCCCACCAGTCAGTTAACTGACCTTAGCTAACCTAATATCATTGCGGCAACTCTCTATGCGGCA